TCCAACTTCACGAAAGACAACACCAACTCCAAGAATAACTGCTCCAAGAATAGCAATTCCACGAATAATTGAGAAGGCTAAAGTTATAGAAAAAAATAGATTACTCAAATTAATGAAAAATAAGAATAAAAAGAAAGAAACAAAAAAGTGAAGATAAAAAGAAATTGATAAACAAAAAAATAAATAAAGCAAGAAAAAAGAATGAGAAGAAAAAAGGAAATAGGAAAAGAAACAGGAAAAAAAAAAAATAAAGGCAAGAAATAATCAAAAAAAAAATAAAAATGAAAAAAAATAAAATAGAATATAAACCAAGAGAGAAAAGAGAGCGAAAAAACAAAAAAAAAGGAAAGCAAAAAAGAAAAAATTAAAGAAAAAAGAAAAAAAAGCAGAAAAGAAAAAAAGAAAAGAAGAAAAAAAAAGTAAAAAAAAAAAAGAATAAAAAGCAAAAAGAAAAAAAAAGTAGGGAAAAAAAAGAAAGCGAAAAAGAAATAGAAACAAAACGAAGTAGAAACAAAAAGAAGTGAAAATGAAACAAAGTAGAAACAAAATGAAGTGGAAATGAAATGAAGTAAAAACAAAATGAAGTAAAAATGAAACAAAGTAAAAATGAAACAAAGTAGAAACAAAATAAAGTGAAAACAAAATGAAGTAGAAACAAAAAAAAGTAAAAATGAAAAAATGTGAAAACAAAAAGTAGTGATAAGAAGAAAAAAAAGAAAAAGGAAAAGAAAAAAAGATAAGAAAAATAAAATATAAAAAGTGGGTAGAAGGAAAAAAAAGGCAAGATAAAAAGAAAAAAAAGTGGGATAAAATGAAAAAAAAATAGAAAAAAAAAGCAGAAAAAAGAAAGAAAAAGTGAAAAAAGAATAGTAAAGGAAAAAGAAAAAAGTGAGAAAATTAAAAAAAGTGTGAAAAAGTAAAAAAAGGTAAGAAAGAATAAAAAAATAAAACAAAAAAAAGCAATATAGCAAAAACAAAACAGCAAAGAAAAGTAAACAGCAAAAAAAAGCAAAGCAATGACAAATGCAAAATGGCAAAGAAAAGCAAAGCATCAAAAAAAAAGCAAAATAGCAAGAAAAAGCAAATAGCAAAAAAATCCAAAGCAACAAAGACAGCAAAACAGCAAAGCAGCAAAAAAACAAACTAGCAAAGCAAAGCAAAGCAAAACAAAAAA